GCAGCAGCAGCAGCAGCAGCAGCAGCAGCAACGCCCCGCTTCTTCAGCACGAGCGCGCCCACGCGTTTGCAGAAGCTCACGCGGCAGCCGTCGAGCTGCTGCCGAAGCATTCGTTTCTGCGAAGCGGAGAAGCAAGAGTGGCGGCTCGTGTGTCGCACAATGGTGAGCCTCCCGCTGCTGCTGCTGTTGCTGCTGCTGCTGCTGCTGCTGCTGCGGCGGCGGCGGCGACCAGTGGTCCTGACCAGTGGTTCTGAGGGCTCGCCGCGCAGACTGCAGCGTTCGGGGCCCCCCCGCAGTCGCTGAGGGACTTCGCGCGCTGCCTGGCGCTGCTGCTGAGCATCAGCAGCAGCAAACTGGGCTGCTGCCAAATGGACTCTGTGGTTTCGCTGCTGTCTTCCGGGGGCCGCTGGCAGCAGCAGCAGCGGGAAAGCTCGAAGTGGGGGAAGCACTTGGATCTTTTTGCTGCTCCGCGTGGGTTTCGAGCAGCAGCAAAGCTGCAGACACGGAAGCAGACGCTTAAGAGCACTTGTTCACATTTAAAAGCATTTATTTATTTATTTATTTATTTATTTATGCAGCAGCAGCAAACGCAGCAGCGGCAGAAGCAGCAGCAGCACAAGCAGCAGCAGCAAAAGCAGCAGCACAGCAGCGAAAACAGCAGCAGCAGCAGCAATAACAGCAGCAGCAGCAAGAACAGCAGCAGCAGCAGCAGCAGCAGCAGGGGAAGGACAGGCGGCGTCTCACCGTCGTGGAGGACGGCGGCGGTGAGGTCCACTCTGGATCCCTCGAAAAGAAAAGAGTGAGGACTTTCTGCTGCTGCTCCATCTGCAGCAGTTGCATGCAGCAGGTACACTGCGTTGGGGTGTACGTACAGCTCGCACCAAGGAGAAAGCGCGTGAGGACGTATTGGGTTTCTGAGGCAGCAAATCAAAATTTGGAAATTTTTAATTTGAATTGTTTACTTAATTCAAAATAATGTGTCATTCATTCAAAAGAATTTTTAGTAAATTCAAAAGATTTGTTGAATTAATTCGAAGGATTATTGAATTAATTCAAAAGAATGTTTAATTAATTTGAGAGGATTGTTAAATTAATTAATTCAAAAGAATTAATTTAAAACAATTGTTGAATTAATTCAAAAGAATCAATTAATTTAAAAGAAGTGTTGAATTAATTCAAAAGAATTGATTAATTTAAAATAATTGAATTAATTCAAAAGAACTAATTAAAAGGATTGCTGAATTAATTTAAAAGAGTTAATTAATTTGAAAGAATTGTTGAATTAATTTAAAAGCCTCACTGGAAGCATTTGCAGGACACATTGCTCGCAAAGTCCTCATGCTTCTGTACACCCGAGAAGCTTCTTCTTCTTTCCAGGCCTTAGCAGCAGCAGCAGCAGCAGCAAAGTGAGTAGAGGCGCAGCAGGAGGTGTCAGCAGCAGTGCTGCAGTACCTTTCTGCCGCAGCTGCTGCAGCTGGCGCTTGCTGCTGCAGCAGCAGGCTCGAGCTCGCCCTGCTGCCTCACGCAGACCAGCCAAGCAGCAGCAAAAGGACTTCTGGAGTTTTCTTCAACTCCGGAAAAAGTGCATGCACAGACTCTTCGGAAAGTCTTCATTAAAGGCACACTGAGGGGCTCTCCGAGGCCCACGACGACGCAGCCTGCAGCAGCGGCAGCATGCAGCGCGGTGTACGTACACCCCGTGCATGCGTAGCACGCACCTCGCAGCACCACCAGCGCCCCACAGCGGAAGCAAAAGCCTCCCGGAAAAGGCCGGGACTGCAGCAAAAGAGGAGCAGCAGGGACGCAGCAAGCAGCAAAGAAACAGTGGCAGCTGAACTCCGAGAAGGGGGGCCAGGCGGGCCAGTGGGGCCCCAAAAGAAAAGAAAAGTCTTTTTTTTCTGAAGTCTACAGAGGCATTGGAGGGCCCCCGGGGCCCCCGGGGCCCCACAGACAGCCAGGACTCAAGGAGTTGCTGCTTACCGCCAACTGCTGCAAAGAGCTGCACAGCCGCAGAACGCACTTCTGCAAATAGCTGCAAAACTGAGCAGCAGCAACAGCTCGCTGGGCCCCGGAGTTTGCTGCAGCAGCTCAGGTGTACTTACACAGTCCCACGCAGTCAAAGCCACGGGCCCCCAGGCCGGCAGCTCGTCGAGTCTGCACACAAGAGCCGAGAGGAATTAAAAAGAAATTCTTTTTGAACTTTCGCGCCTACAAAAGAGAAACGTCCACTTCCAGCTCCAGCAGCAAACAGCGGGGGGCTTGTTCGTTCTCCTTTGCTGCTGCTGCTGCAGTCCGCATCTGCGCCAAAATGCTCCGCAGGTGCTTCTGTGCAGATTCCCCACACATTCAGGCCAAACCCGCGCTAAAACTTTCAAAATGTTTCAAGTACTTGTGCCACCCATTGCAGCAGCGGGAGGGGAGTCTCAGAGTGCTCTTGTTCTGCAGGATCGCAGCCTCGACAGCTTTTCGTTTCGTCCAGCCGCCGTGACTTCGGGGGCCTTTTTGTCCACTGCCGAGTCGCGGGACGACGCCGAACTGGAGTCGGCAACATAATTACAGCAACTGAAAACACTAAATACAAAAGTTCCTTCGAATCGCGTTTAATTCGAAGTTAGATGTCGCCGCGCAGCTGCCCAGGTTCAACTTGCAACAGCAACGAGCTGCATGTACACCTGAAACCGGTCGCCTCGTTTTGCAGATCCTGCTGGAAACTCGCCGCAGTTGAGATGATCCCTTCGTTTTCGTGGCGGAAAAAGCGGAAATAAAATTCGCATTTCAATTTCGTGCATATTCAAAACAAAAATGAAGGCAAGCGAGACAGCGCAGCCGTTTCTCCGGCAGGATCGCGCGGCACAAAACGTGTGCAGCACCTCTCGGCTGTACAGCACGTAAAACTGCTGCGTCGTTGAAGCAAAAGTCAAAAAAGCTGCCCCAGCCTCCCTCTTCAGAACTGGGGCCTTTATTTGGCGAGGGCGCCTCTTGCTGCTGCAGCAAGAGTTGTGCTGCAGCGCCCTCCGCAGCAGCAGCAGCAGCAGCGCAAGCGGCGCCAGGGCTTGCTGTGAGCTAATGCGGACTGCAGCAGCTCCTGCAGAGCTGGCGAAGTGCTGCACTACTCTACGGAGTTTCGTCTTTCCTAAATGTGCTGAAAACAGCAGAGACAATCGATAGAGTTCAAACTGTCCTGGTGCCACAGGCAATAGGCCAAGCAAGAAAAGCCGAGCTGCGGCATTTGCTGAACTTCCCCTGCAAATGCCCTTCGTTTCTCTTCTCTGCTGCTGCTGCCTGCTGCTGCAGCGCACGGCCAAAAGCCCAAAAAACGCATGCAGCAGCAGCACCGCCGCAGCAGCAAAACCAAGAAACTCTAAAGGCCCCCCAAATCTCTCTATTTGGAAAGCCCTACCGCCTTCGCCATTTCTTACTGCCCCGCATTCCACGGCCTCGCCGATGGCTCCCCTAAAAAACCCCCGAGGGGGCCCCCCGCCGGGGCCCCCAGGGGGGGCCCCCCCAAGGGGCCCCCCAGGGGGTGGGGCCCCAGGGGGCCCCCCACGGGTACCCCCAGCGAGGCCCCTAGGGGGCCCCCCGAGGGACCCCCTAGGGGAGGCACCCCCGAGGGGCCCCCTAGGGGGGGGCCCCCCACGGGGGCAGCATGCACCGGGGCTGTACCCACGGGCCTGCCGCCCCCGTGCAGCAACTTGAGCAAATTCTTCTCTCCGCTGCCTCCCCTAGAAAGGGGAGGGCTGTGGGGGGTGGACGGATAGTCTAAGTGACTGCCAGGGGCCCCCTGGAGGGGCCCCTGGAGGGCCCCCGG